AATTCCGAACAATGTGAAATGCTACGAATACGCTCGGATTTTCATTGAACGCGTTCTACTCTCGGCCTTCACAATCGGTGAATCGATAAAATTTTTCGATAAAATGATGCTATTCTTAACGATTTTCTTTCCATCTTTCTTCCCTTCGTATCCTCCCTTCGAATCAACCGTATGCTCTCTTTTCGGCAGGTAACAGATTCCACATTCTTGTTTTCAATGGAAAAAATTTTCGTACATGTGTTAAATTCGTATCAAACAATATGTAATCAATACCTACGGCTAAATAACACTATAATTGTACTATACACACAATTTGACATGAACTTAACAACATGTCGTAATAACATCCCGACAAACTTTTGATTGACCTGATATAGTCATGAGATGATAATGTTTCTCCTTTTGTGATTCAAGATTATACGCATCCACTGTGTGACATAAAAAGTTTTATAGGCTGCTCGTTTAGCGCGGTAGAACACGCTGCTAACTTTATATCCTGTCACCAGTGCTCACTGATATGAGCAATTTATCGCGCTGGGTCTAACACGGCGGACGATAAAAATAAAATGAAATGTTTTGTGGTGGAGCGCATTTGGTATTGAAATTTTCACCGTTTCCTGTTAATGGATTACCGTGCAGTTCAACGATTCGTATTTATGCGGCTTTTCAATTAATTGCTGCGTTTATGGACCATTTAACTGCCTTCCATCGTGCTACTAAGAATCGGTTAGTCTTCTTTCTAATTATTATTTGGCTTCTGATTCCATAATTTTGAAAAGAAGCAAAACAAACATTGTAGAAATCATACATAATAATCCTTCAGCTAATGAAATGTTCTCAAAAAAAGTCGAGTAAAAAATTTACACAAAAATATGATTACGAAGTTGAAAGTGCAGAAAATATGGCTAACGATAACATAGTCATAGATACGTTATCATACGGATATCGACACTTCTTAACTTGCGCATGGAAAAGACGAGCGAATGTAGTTTCACTGCCATCGTACCGGATAGACTGACGGTCAATATTAGTTTGTTCGATAGCTGCTGGCATATTTGCTCTCATGCGAATGAAAAATATCTCCGTTGCACACGTCACAGATATTGCTTTTCAACTATTTGCCGGCGGGTGTTTGTGAGGACGCTCAGAGAAACGTTGTAACCAGAATGCAACGTTAAAGCTTGTCCCTACTATAAATAAACGATTTATTTTACGCAATAAACTTGCATTTTGTTGGAATTTTCACGTTGGATTTTAGTTCGTATATTTCCTGTGAATTATCCTACGTACGCAACTCGCCGCAGGATAAAATAGTATTATAGATGACACAATGGTGTATCTATCCCACGAATTACAATCCTCTTGATAATACGGAGCGTGTTGCTGGCTTAAATTGCGCGAACTAGGATAGATCTCTTTCAACAGCGTAAACTAATCGGCAAACTCGTAATTGAATCACGCCTAATTGAATACCCGCTAATTATACTAGCTAATAAATTTCGTCTTGTGTGCAACGTTCACGAGGAGAATTTACTAAAGAGTAGCAGCCTTACAGGACCTTGAGTCACGCGAAAAAGTCTGAAATTTTTTATGGCCCCTGAAATATATTGCCACGGTAGTAAGAAATAAAAAACAATACACTCATTGATGCTGAACTGACCATATAATCTACTCGTTAAAGAGTAATTGATGACGAAGAAATTAATTAATCGATTACTCCTAATTGATTCGAGATAGAAGAAAATTGTGTATGACCTTTTCTGCAGGTAATAGCAACTTTTATTTGAAGCATTTTTCGAAATCTCGTGACAAAACAAATTTTTATTTTTCCGTGATTTTGTCAAGCAGACAGTAGGCATGGTAGATTTTAATACGACTTTTTATTTGTTGTGAAGCATTGCATGAACTTGTTTTATTAAAACAAGCTTTTAGTCAAGCAGAAAAAGTTTGCGAGAATCAGAGCGGTTTCATTAAAATGATGTAATTATGTTTTGAAGTTCCCAACGTGTTTGATCTTCGCGGCGACGTCGCAGAGGAGTTTTAATGCTCATGATTTTCGAGGTCGCAAATAACGGTTCACTGCGTATACTTGTCAGAAAAATTTCTGTCTTCTAGAGGTTTCAGTCGTGGGGACACGCGGACGATAAGAATTCAGCAATTCTATATCAGTAGGAAACGCGGATATCATTTTCAATAAAAATGTTAATTGTGAATTTCATTTTAGACGTCGCACTATGTATCACGTTTCGGAATGTATAAGAAAAAATAGACACGGTGGTAGATTGTGGCGTCAGTAATAGTTCAGTGTAGGTGAGGTCGAAGATCGAGGTTAATTGAAGTGTTCAAGTGTGTCACTCGAGGTTTTCTTGGTAGATATTGGTGGTTTACGAGTGCGCCCCCGTCATCTCTGACATTTTTCCATTAAAAGATTTCGAGTTCTTCGCCTCACGATTAAAAGCTCATTAATGTTTTAAATGCAGAATTATTGGAATCTAATTTCCTATACACATAGAATGAAAGAATTCATTTTCATCGATCAAATCGATCAAAAGTTGAGATAGAAATACGAAGTGCGTAGGTAAGGGAACGAAAACTCGAAGAAAGAGACAGGCATCAAAGGAAATGATCGCGGTTTGCCAACAAATCGTCTGGACAATGATCAATAAATCATTGACCGCAGCTCGACCGTCGTTAGAAAACGGGGAGCAAGGAAAAGTCCGGTGCGAAAAGTGTAGGTCGAAGGTCTCTGTCAGGGGGAAAAAGGGACAGAAAGGGAAAAAGGAGAAAGAGAGAAGGGAAGTAAGGTGGGAGGAAGGGGGTTAGAGGGTGGCTAGACAGAGCTCTAACAAGTGGCTGCACGGTTCGTAACGATCGCCTTCTGTGTCATGCACCAGACACCCGCACGTTTTCTCTGTCTAAGAGGTTTAACCAATACACCTTCCCGATCTCGCTTTTCTTTGTGTTTCCACGTATATGACACTCACATCATGAAATATCGCTTAACGTGACAAAGATCGTTCATGACCGACTGATATTTCGTCCCCTTCTGACTTGCAATAATTTCCACCGCGATACGCCCGCAAACGAATTGGACCGATCGATCACCTCTATTAGCGGCCAAGCTACAGAATGCATTGTCAAATACAACATTTTTAAAACTTGCTATTTCGGTGTTTCCTATAAACTGATTACTCCCACACATATCTCGATATGGAGATTTTCGAAAGAAGGGAAGGCTTGGCTTTCGCGATGAATTCATTCTATAAATCCTGACAGTTGCGATACGTAAATATAAAATCTGGGATGGACGAAACTGATTTAATTGAAGGTGATGGTAGCTGTTGAAGCAGTGACTAGTAAATTAAGGGGATCCTTGGATAAAGAGTAGCCACTAGATCCGTTCGTTTGCTCTTCTACCTCCGATAACGATGTCTTTTATGTAGCAAGCCTCGTGTTTGAGGACTATTTCGTACGCAAAGAAGAGAGAAGATTTCGGATTACAGTGATATCAAACGACCGTCAATTCTGGTTCTTTTTAAAGACTTCCTTTGAAGACTATTTGAGAAGAGAAAGTAGGATACTATCAATTCGATTAAGGACACAGTAATCATTTACATTCGCCGCAGCTACATAAATAAGATCAGTAATTTTTAATTGAAATACTGTATTAAATTGGGTCAATGAATTTTCAAGTTTAATCTTTGAATCGGTAAAACGAGTTTAAATAAGTTGTTCAAACAGCTCGTATTTGTTATCATGTTAACGTTAATTCGTTCGCACTGCGGGCGTTCCTCTCGTCGAATTCGCGAGAGTTCAATTAAAACTTTTTATAGATTTGTTCAACGCCCACTCTGACTTGCGATATGCTTTCGCGTGTGTTGTTTCTAACGTGTTATTCACAAGCATGCACACAGTGACGTGACTTGTACGTGATTGCTGAGATTACATGAAAAATTCGTCGTAATTTTATAGGAGCTCGAATTGACGCGGTACGAAGCACCAGTCACGTGACGCACAAACTTTATATATACGTGTATGTACATACATAGGGGTTTTAAAAACCCTTCTTAATACCGTCAGCTAAAAATACCATGGACCATGTTACTCTATCTATTTTCTATGTCGACGTGATTACAGTGACTACGAAAAATATTATTATTTCACGTATACTTATATAACTTTGAGATCAATGATCTATGAAAAAGTGAACACTCTTGGGCCCTGTTGATTAACGATTAATTGTTGAATTAAATGCAACATTTTGTTGATTCGTTCTGTGGCCAATGTCTACGGCCACGATGAAGAAAGAGAGGACGACAGAGAACGAAAGGAAGAGAGAACGAAAGAGTACCAAAATATCTATTGCTCGGAGGCGCGTGGCAGCTCGGTCGTCTCTACGATAGAAAGCATATGCCCGGCGCGAGAACTGTCAAATATCGCGATGTTTCTTTTCTAACTGAGGCCACGGGAGGCCACGAAAGGGCTCTATCGTTAAGATCAAATCGATACCGGAATGGTTAATACTGCATGTCCTTTATCTTAAGTAACACTTAATCCCTCGCGTACACGCTCTTCCTCTATGCCCGTCTCGCTTCGAGGCGCGACCGGCATGCTTGTTCATCTTCGTCACGCGTTCACTACTGTCTCGCTTCTGTCTTCCATTCTCTCTCATTCTCTCTGACATGTGTACGCGGTTCTCTTGCTTTTCCACGAATATATACATGCATCCCTCGCGTACGTACGCACTCATACACGTGTGCGACGCGTAACTTACGTACGAGCGAGGTGACGTGCGAGTGAACACGCATACAAGCGCATGGTTTATTCTATAGACGATACGGAGTGCCGTGCAACAGAACGTAACGTATTGAGGTAAGCCGGGGTAAGAAGACCTTAACCTATCGCGGTTAAAGGCCAGCGGTGTAAGCGGCTCAAATAAAAACCAAGTGACTGGAGCAAACAAACGTCCCCGTTCCCCGGTTACCGATAAATTGTCTTACCTCTTTTACTAGTGGGTGTAGTGTCTGTTCTATGCTACGGGTCTTTATCTCTAGGGTGGCTGGGTCTACGGGGTCGGGTGTCGCCATGATTCGAACACAACTCCGAGCTCCGTGGACTCGAACCGAACCTAGAGGGTTCGTTGCACCCCTCTTGCTTCTCGTGCGTCCACACTACCCTCACGTAACGCTCGTGCGTTTCCAACTTATTCCCCTAGACGTCCCTCTGTTCGAATACGCTGGCCAATCGACGCTCAGCGTCGCTGAGACCCTCGACGCGAGCGACGCGCCAACCGTGACGGCGACGCCAGCAATTCTTCGTTTTCGACGGCATAGCACCCTTTCGGAGAATGCGTCTAGCACCATCTCACGGGGGGGCAGAAGGTTCAAAAAACGCGCGCAACGTACTCTGGAAAGTGACCAATCGCGTACGCTTGATCACGTGACATAGCGGAGAGTGCGCACAATCGGCAGTTAGTCTCGCGCTTTCTTCATGAGTAGTGCACGTTCCCTTTGCGAGTGTTTACAAACTTTTTTCGTAGGTTATTGTCAAGTTCACGTATGCCAAACGTATTGAAACGCGAGACTAGTTATAGAAGAAGATTCAAGTCATCATGTGCTGTGTAAATTGTTTAATGGCCTCCTCAGAATCACGTGAGTAAGAATTTCGTATTCACGCTTACTGCTACGATATTATTACGCAAAACTTCTCACATTTCTTTTGCAACTTTCAATTCGTATTGTATATTTACTTCATCTTCATCCTGTGTTGTAATTTCTTATTTGAGTTGCTTCCTTTTTGCAATTCATGTATCGCACGATTGACATATAACTTGAGAGTACGTGTGTGATGAGTAGCTGACATGAAAAGTGCGCGAAATACTGTACAGTAAGTAACTCGGATTCAATTATTGAGGTAGATCACGTTTGATCCTTCAAAACTAGAGAACCTCGAGCTATCGTAGTTATGATGCTTCCTTGTACGCTTCTTATATTTTTCAATGTTTGTATAATTATTGTAAACTGTTTAATATTAAATATTGTAGGTATCAAAAACTCATACCAAGGGAGCATTGTGAATAGTTCGTGTCGGAAATCGAGAATTGATTTCAACGAAAGGTAAATTGAAATATTTTACTATTTTTAATTTGGAATGAATGACAGGCTTAGAATCAACATGTACCGAATATATTTAGTTCATCATTATGTTGCTTCTATGACAATTGTATATACAAGCTGTACTTTTTAAATATGTTCTATAGTTTAAGACTTAATAAGAATATACAATAACAGCGACTAATTAAAACGTGTTGGTATACTCACAGCGGGATGGAATGCTGGTAAACAATTTCATTGACAAATTTTGACTGCAGTCATACCTAAAACGCGTGTATTCGTCCGTAAATGTAAATTTTCCCGATGAATCACGTTAACTCACCGAATTACAATATTTTTTATCGGATATACGTACATCTAATTCTCGTAAAGCTACACATGACTAGTTCTAATCAAACGATATTCTTAACATACATTTCCTTATGGAATAACAGTTTTCTGCACTACTTTGACAAATATTTTTAATGGCAGAAAATATGAAAGAATTCGAAGTATAAGGAAAACGAACGTTACGCCTACAGTTAAGAGAAACTAGACGTTGAATCCATTACTAACTCTTTCTGTTTCTCAACAAAATGTTTGTGTCAGACTGGATCTTGTTAACATCTCGTTACTTGTTCGCGTTAACAAATTTGTTTTGATTTGGCGCCAGCGGTGCTCTTCTCTTTACATGTTTCTCGGGTACTTTGTCCTTCGATGGTGTAACTCCATTACAAGCCAAGCCCCCCTTTCTTTTCCTTAACGACTCGGTGGGAAGATATTCGGCCGGTCGCAATAGCTGCCTGAAATTATATGGCCCATTGATATCCTCCGGGTCGTAATTCACCTTAAAAATTTCCTGGCGTTTCTGAACGGCCGCTGGTCTCAAGATCTGTTTAAGATCGACTGGGATACCGTATCTATCGTTCCCCAGCTCTTTCTTCCCAACGCCCAATCTGCCGTTGATTGCGTTCTGACAATTGATCAGTTTGCCTATCTCATTTTTATTGTCGATCTTTCCATACTTCTCCAAATTTTTATTCTCCTTCTTAGGCTGTATTTCTTTTGCACGTTCATGTAGATTGTTTCTAAGGCCGTTGCTCGGCCTCGGCTTCGTCAATTCGTCCCTCACGACCATTTTATTGATAAAGAGGCCGTTCTGACAACCGCTCATGATGTTCCGATACTGGTTACTGCAAGGTAGATGTCCGTTCGCTTTGGCCACGTTATTCGTCGACGAATGTTCGTGAGCTGGGTTTGAATACCCGTTAATTGCAACTCCGTGACCGTTCACGCGATCGTGACGATTATTTGGACGCGCGTGTCCATTGGCGAACACCGAATGTCCGTTCGCAAAATGAAAGCCGGCGTTTAATCTGTTCCGATGATTGTTTATAGGGTGTCCATTGGCGATACACTGCTGACTCGGTAGTTGACGCTCGTTTATATCGTTGCATCTATTGATGCATCTGGATCGTAGGCCATTTGAATGGTTGATATTCGAAGAGTCGACTGCAGGTTGTCTGCGGATCGGATAATCTTCAGGGGACCACAGGTTGTTATTAGGTACGTAATTAGTCCGTATACTGCAAAGAAAATTGCTGATTTAATAAAGGACTGCTGGTCACTCAGTTAGGCGAATTATTGATTTCACGACTACCGACTGACATATAACAATCTTGAAAATGAAATAGTAATCTACCGGGTTTTTTAATGGTCAAATCGTTGATATGGTATAGTCGCTCTAATTTGTATAACGTGAATATTGTAGTTTAGTATGAATATAGTTTTGATCCAGATTCTTGAATTTACAAGAAAGAAACTATATTTCTTGTTATAAACATTAATTCAAAAATAAATGAAGGACATTTGTGAAAGCGTTCGTTTTCAAAAATGCTACATTAAAAATTTCTAAATGAAATCGAAAATCTCATCGATGATTGCGATATGTTCTACAGATGGCATAAGTTTATAATTTTACCTGGAAGTTTGCCATGATACCTCTGGCAAGGTATAGAAACACAACGAAAGATTAGTAGAACTCAATTTTACTATCGTACGATGATTAAGTCAGCGATACACTGCCTATTGTGAAATGACTGCGAGTTAATAAACAAACGAAAGTAGCGAGAAAAAAGATCCTTGCTGAACGCATTTCCGCAGTGTAAATAAAAAGTTGAAATTCAGGCAGAGAAATAAACGCGATGATCGTCTAGTTACGAAAGTTTTACTTTACCCCACTTTGGTCGGCATCGCTGGCTGTTGATTCTCGCCCGGATTCCTCAAAGCTTTGTGCCATATATCCGAGAGTTGCTGCTCTGTGGCTAGCGCAAAGTTGGCCTGAGCTTCCATACGATCCCTCCTCTCTGCATACTTCCAAAACCTGGCCTATTCGACTCCTGTTGTAACAAAATAATATAATCATTTTTCTACGGGACAGTTGTTCACTGTCTCTCTACACTATTACTTTACGAAACTTCAGTTTCGGTTCATATCCAAGTTCTGTAGGATAAAATTGATGATGTTCTACAAAAAAAATTTGTCTTCTGACGAGAACAATATAGTCAGAAAATTCTATATGCAGTTTTGAGATACTACATTAGGATGGAACTTCAAATTCCAAGACCTTCTACGATATTGAAAAAAAAATTGTTAATCGAACAGACTTCCAACTGTCTACGGAAGTACCTCGACAATGGATGAAGGTCATTTTCTAGCTGTATCAACGGTAAGTCCCAGCCAGCTTCGTCTTCTTCTAAGTCCGAACCACTTCCGATGCGAGTGCCAGAAGCATTGGAAAATTGAGCATTCAAATTTCCCATTCGCCCAAAGAAAACGATAACGAGTAATCGGTTCAGTCACGTTCAATTTATTTACCTGCTCATCTCGTCCTTCAAGTCACGATAATATTTGATGGTCTCCTCTCCCTCCACTTGATTGCCGCTACGATATTGCATGACAGGCTGCACCATGCTAAATCCTTCGGGTCGAACGTAATCCGGTGACGGTTCTTCGACGTCGTTCACCGGTATTCCAGGTTTGTTCCGACGCAGATTTTTGTGCACCTCCTGATTCTTCATGTGAACCTTTAGTGTAATTCAAATTGATTAAAAATTGCGCACGAACAAAATACGATCGATTCTGTGAAATATAAATTTATTTACATTTTGTGAGAATTGTATGAGATCGGCTTGTCTTAACTTGTAATGCACGTTGTCTTTTACCGGTGACTTGTTTTTATTAACTCTTTCTTCTTCCTTGTACCATCGTTGAATAATTAACTCCGCGTCTTCGTTCTTTACACCTTCGCGCACTAATGCTTTATGCGCCTCGACTTTGTCGTCGTAATTGTTTAAGATCAACTTGAAACGTTCCTCCAACTCGGGTCCGAAACGCTTTCGAATAGTGTACCCTCTGAAATCTGCAAACAGCAAAGGATTATGCATTAAGTAAGGTATATGTATTTACCGTAGTGTGAAACTTACGGCTCTGTATAATAACAGCAGCGTCGTCTTCCTTCAATTCGTCTTTCTCATTTTCTGCTGATTCTCCCTCAGCCGCCTTATTTTTCCGTGCCTCTTCTATTTAAAACGAAATATTGAGTATACTTAGTAGCATAATTACATCCTCTCATAATTAAAGAAAACTGAAATTGTATAAAATTACCTAGCGCTGCTCGTGCATTTGTCTTTTCTTCCATGTCTTTCTTCCTCATTTCCTCCAAAAGACGCTTTCGTGATAACCAGCCACGAATATGACGCTGGAGCGTCACGACCGATACGGCAAATTGCCATTTCTGTTTCTTGAATCTAATTCTCGCGAGCCATCGGCGAACGCATGCTTGGACCATAATGATCCTCTTCAGTTGTTCCTCGTACATTTTCGAAAGGAACTCGACGTGATAGTATTTCAAAAATACCTTCGTCCTACCCAATGCCCAACCGTCCAGTTTAAGACGAATTAAGAAGAGTCGGCAATTTTCGCGATTAGCTACCACACGTTCATCGAAAGAAAATGCTAGGAAACAATATCTGCAACAGTAAAATTCGTTTCAGTTCTTATTTTTCAACGCGCAGTTGCGGTTGTGCGTTGATCGGCGTACCTCTTTAAGAATTCGTTGAACTGTATTCTGTGCGAGAACCCGTTCTGCCGAATTCGTATCGTCTCTAGAACACCCGTGTATCTCAGTTGCTTCACCACTTTCTCTTTGTCAAAGAATTGCGGGCTCTTGGAATCGTTCGGTTTTATACATCGTACGAACTGCGGTGAACCCGATACCATCTTTTGCAGCAAGTCCATGAGGGAATACCGGAAGTAGGTTGCCACCGTTTGCTGAGCTCTGGACTGTGACGCCAATCCTCGGCTCGAATAACGTTCCTAAATTTTTTACACTTTATTCGTACGCGTGTCACGACGCAAACTTTGCTTTTTAAAGAACACTGTTTCTCGTGTCAATATTAACTAAGTTCGTAACGTAACGGACCGCCTTATTGGGTTCGCAATGGTCAGCACGACAGCTTTCTATTGTTACTACGATTAAATTGGTCGGACGGGTACCTTTGTATTCTGATTAGACTGTTGTGACAACTTCTTCGAGTCGGTCTCGTGGACGGCTGAATACAGGTTGCCGGTCTTCGTGATCGGGCATTGGAACAGGAAACGGACCATATCGTACTGAGACTGTCTGACTAGCTGGATGATCTCAGGAGGCAAGAAGTTTCTATTCTTTTCCAAGAACCCTTCCGCTTGGTAAACCACGCGTCCCGCGAAATGGTGAACCGCGAAGCAAACCGCGTCCGATTTCGGTCGCACGTAGAACTTCGATTTAATGTTGTTGTGGTATTTTTCTGTAAAACGCATCAATCGTTTCTTACTACATCACGTTACATACTTCGCTTTCATTACATACCATGCTTAATTAAAATACAAAGAATCGCCAATTTTCGTACCGATCAAAGATTTGTTGGTGGCTCGAGGGAATCGGCTTTCCTCGTCTAACAGTGCCAGCAGTCCCATAGGTTTACTCAGCAGCATGTCGAGTACGGGTCTGTTGTCCGAAAACTCGACCAGATCGACGGGTATTCCCTCCGCCATGTACTCCTGTTGTTCCCAGGTGAAAATGTGTTGATTGAAATAGTATTGTATTTGTTCATTGGCAATGTTGATGCAAAGCTGCTCGAACGAGTTCCTCGGGAAGTTTTCGAACCCGAAGATGTCGAGTAGCCCAATCGCCAGCGGTTCATAATTCGGGGATCGATTGAAGCTCAGTAAACAGTTGATTTGATTGACCATCCAATCGAACAGTCGACCGTACAGGCCTTTAGCCATCGCATCTCTCGCCGCGCACGCCTCTGTCACCGTATTGTTCCGTGTAATTGTCTCTCCTCTGGTCATAACCGAGTTCGATGTCAACGCCTCTAAAAGATCGTTCTCCTCCACGCCAAGCAATTGCGAAACTGAAGATTTAAAAAAATGTACATAAATTTACAATGATTAACACTCATTGGAGCCATGTTTCATCTTCATGTATTGCTTCCTCGATAATAGCTCGAGATAAGGATGATTACCTCTGTGTAAAGGTGCCGTATCGATCACGTGGCTCTTGTTATCGGTGTTGTCCTCGCTGGCCACTTCACCGAACTCGATATCACCGAGATGAAGTATCGCGGCGAGGATACGGTACACCGTGTCTACCTCGCTGTCCTGGAAACCGAGCAATTTAAAGCCGGCCTTCAGTTGCTGGAACTTGTCGATATGCGTCTGCGATGTCTGACTATTATCCGTCAAATATCGATGATTCTTCCGGAGATCCGGATCCAGATAGAATTCCGAGAGGCGGTCGTCTGCTTCGAGGCCGTCGTACATGTAGTAGAATATATGGAAATTGCGTTCGCCCCTGTAGATCGATCAAATCGAACACTGAAATTAATGGAGCAATAATAAATCAGAGTGCATACTTACTCGGCTTGAGCCACGACTCGAGATTGCTCCAACAGATAGACGTATATTCTGGCGCCAGTGACTTTACCACCCTTAGTCATCGTCAGATCCAGGTATTTGCCGAATCTCGAGGAATTCGCGTTGATTCCGGTGGTCGCGTTTCCGAAAGCCTCCATTATCGGGTTTATCTGCAGAATCCTCTCTTCCAAATTGCGATTAGGAGCTTTACTGAGATAGACCAATTGTTTCAGCAGCAAGTTCGCGCTCTCCGTTTTGCCCGCTCCAGATTCTCCGCTAATTACGATCGCTTGGTTTTTTCGCTGATGAAGCAATGCTTGGTAAGCGGCGTCGGCAACGGCAAATATGTGAGGCGGATTGTCCGATCTCGCCTGACCCTTGTACCTTTTCTGCTCCTGCGTAAATAACGTCCCTGTGAGTGATCGTTATCTTTAATGACACTCGATAGTACTTACAAGTCCAGTGTACAGTCCCAGGTTTGTGAACGGGTTAACGGCAACAAGTATATCGCCAATATAAGTATATATTTGAGCTTGTTCGTATCTGTGTTGCAATTGATCGACGATCGCGTCCTCGGACAGCATGTCCAACGCAGCCAAGTCGTCCATGTACATTTTTTCCGGCCTGGTCTTCCGATCGGTCTTCAATTTCCCATGTTTGGTCGTCACTTCCGGCTGCCTTTGTACTCTTCCGTCCGCCCTTTGACGCGCTATCTCCTCACGAAGTTCGTTTCTGATCCTTTCTATGTTCGGCTCGATGTTCGCTATCAATGGGTGCTCCCTTAATTCACTGGCGAACGGTCTGTGCTCGAGATCTTTCACCAAGCATTCTGTAATGAAGTCCATCAACTCCGGACAGTGAATATCCGGATTCTTTAGTGACGGTGGCGGGTTCCTAGGTATTTGAAAGAGCGCTCTCATCGGATGCAATTCGGATAAAGGCGGATCGCCTTCCGTTAGCTCGATCGCCGTGATCCCGACCGACCAAACGTCGCATCGGGAATCATAAGACGAGTCCAATTGTTGCTCGCAAGCTATTACCTGTTCGTGATTATGAAATTATTCCCGAAGTTCGTTTTAATATCGGTGACGACTCAGTAAAAAAATTGTTGCCGTTTACCTCTGGCGCCATCCAATATGGAGTCCCGACCGAAGTATTTTTCCTCGCGAGAGTCGCGGCGAGGTGCGATGAGACACCAAAGTCGACCAGTTTCACGTGAGCATCTTCGGTGAGTAAAATGTTGTGCCCCTTGACGTCACGGTGCATGCAGTGATTGTTGTGTAAATAAATCAGCGCCTCGACCGTCTCTCGGAGGATGTAAGCTATTTGCTCGTCCGTCAGACGTTTCCCTTTTCTTTTCAAGCCTTGCACGAGATCGGTCACCGAACCTCCGGTGCACAACTGTGTAATCGAAGCAATTACAGAATTAATTGCGAAGAATGGAATAATTAAGAGGAACTGAGGACATTAGAAAACTGATTCCTCTGTTCCTTTCTCGGAGTTGTTTAGCGGGGTAGAAATGTTAATAGCTTGGTCAGGACAATTGTGTATTCGTTACGCTTTCCTGTTTGCATTATCGAACGAGAGTTAAAATGATGATACCTCTATGACAAACCACAACTGGTCCTCCTCCTGAGCGGGCTTCGCTCTTTTCAAGAACAACCCGTGGAACAGAGGGATGTTCGGGTGGTGGCTAAGATCCCTCAGCACCAAGTATTCCTCCTCGATCTCCTCGATGTTGTCGGCCACGTTCTCGAGGATTTTAATCGCGACTTTGTTCCCGGTCTCGTTGCAATGCGCGCTGTAGACCTCCCCGTATGTTCCCTCGCCAATTAATTCCTCCAGAACGAAACGATCACCGGGCTCAGGGATCGCGTCGAAGTTCACATGCTGGCTGAGACCGTGGTAAGCCATATTGGTCCCACCACCGGTCATTTCTATAAAGAAGCAAATTACGTTGCATTGAAACGGCAAACGCATGATTAAGAAAACACAAATTTCTCTGACTTCTAATGTTTACTATTAACTATAATTCTTGTTATTATGAACATCTCCAAAGTTCAAAGTCACTGTAATTATTATTCTTATATTTAACAGAGAGAAATTACATTGCAAATGACTGGTCTATAGGGTAAATTAGAAATGACGTTAATGACACTTTCCGCGCCGCGTTTATCGAGAATTTTTACTCGCGGACCATGCTAGTGGTGAACTAATTATTCCTAGATCAAGTATTATAGAAAGTTGCGGTGAGCCGCGAGAAGAAAAGTTGTCACTGGTATACCGTACGTAGATGTGGCAAGAAAGCCCCGCCTTGGAACTGAATCTGGTCATCCAATACGCGACTGAAATTACGTTTACAATTCATATTCTCCTATATTATAATATTTCAAAAAAATATGTAATCAACGAATCAAGTATCGAATTAAATCTGTTAGCAGTGCGACAGGAATATCGATTTATTAAACTATCAGATTTGTAATTCAGATAAATCTAGCTCATAAATATGGAATTAAGTAATTTGTCTAACAGCGATTTATGAATTACTAATTACTTCCTGCGAACGAACGTTCGTTTAAAACGCACGCTGGTCTCACAATGAGCAATTGACGAACAATTAATTTATAGAAATTTATCAGTTGATATTTCTATCAATTTCACTTCTGTGTGCATCTTGTACTAACCGATTATATCACCCATTTCGTTCGTGTTACGTGGTTCGCGCTAAAAGTTTCCGAAGTGCCGAAGCTTCATTTAGGTGTAAGCGTTTTCGGAGAGTTCTGTTACTGTTCACTTGACCAAGTACGAAATACGACTGGGTCGTTCGTCTTCTAACTGGATACCTGTTAACCCCTTAATAGGATTAGGCTCGGTAAGACCGGCGCACTTCTGTTCGGTCTCTAGAAATAGGTCTCATAAGAAGACCAAGACCGCGTGTGTTCCCCTCTCCCTGTCTTTTTAATCCTTGATATTAATTCTATAATAGCATATGAACAGGCTTGTGTATGGACTACGATTGTCGGTACGGTATTCGAGTGAGAGGCATGTGCATATTAATCCGATCGTCTTAAATTAGAATGATTTGATTAGAATAATGCAGTCGAAATCGGATTCCGAATAGAATCACTTTCTCATTTTAAAACCGACACTGAGAAAATTTTATCTCAAGAATATTCATTACAACTTTTGATTCTGTTAGGAGATATAAGTGTAAATTATACAAAAAATGTAGATCGTTTATATAATATATTATATATCGACAACTATCGTCATTTATTATTACGTTGTATGAAACTAATAGTTCTCGAGTATAATGAGTAATATAGAGGAAATTCAATTTTAATTTACGTATGAAAAATATATCTTTTTTTCTTTACTTGCGGTAAAGGTATTCATAATAGGTAGTCTTTGCCATTGGAATGAAGCCGGCTAAGGTTCGAAGCCATTCATGGTTTCGAATCACATTTTATAATACGTAATTAAACAGGACATTTATAAATCATGAGTGGCAGATATTATAGCCAATGATATTCGGTGATCCTACATAACAGAATTGATAGCGTGAATTCCTTGTTTCTATTCGAAATTGCCTACATTAACCATTTTGCCTTCGATGAAGATTTCTCAGCGATTTATTCCAAAAAAAGTCAGTTTCACTTCAGAAACAACAACCGATCAGTATCTTTAATCTGAAATAGAAGAATCATGTCGATTTCATACCTCGATGCCTTCTTTTCTATTATCCTGCCAATTCGTTTCGAAAGTATTGTTAATTTTATTGTGCCTGTATCATAGTGATTGTGGTCTGCCCTCTTTTCTCTATTGTAACGAATGTAGTGAATTGGTCTCGGAAGTTTACGGCTGGATACCATCCATCCGGGAGTATCAATCGTAAACAATAACCAATAATCGTGCGAGCGGTCACGTGGTGAGATCGGGGTATTAGAGCGAAGAAACCCGACGTGAAATTGGCTTAGGGGTCTCGGCTGTAAAGTAATGTCTCCTCGAGCTGTGTCATGAGGTCTGACTGCCTTGGACAATACTTGACTGCAGCTAATGTGGTGCATAATCCGGTCAAGTCACGAACATCGTGGCTTCTCAGTTACAACCGTGTCATTGGCTACGAAAATTTTATTATTAACGATTACCGTCTTCAATTATGATCCTGTCCTCCGTGCCAGAATCTTGCGTGTCGCATGAAAAGTTGTTGATAATTGTTGGAAAATACAGGCGTAACGCACAATTCATGCGAATTAGGACAGCGAGTGCATACACGGCAAAAAAATCTGCATATTTCTATATATCATTGCTGATATCTTGCGCTGTAATTATTCTACTCGCTAATGCATAAATGAAGTAGTTCAGGAGTTATAGTTTGTTATTTTTTTACACGACGATGTTTTTCTTGGGGGAGTCAAAGTCAAGGGAAACCTCGATAATGTTACTTTCATTTTGCATATTCAGGGCAAGATTTGTTAAACGAACCGTGATTCCTTTAGAAATCATTTTTACATAAATGGCTAATGCTGTTAATGTTTAATATTTCCGTAACAGTTGAGCATGTACTAATCCAGTAGATAGAAGTGTTGTAATTTATGATTCCTCTCTATTCTAACGTTACTCCTTAACTTAACACGTGTCATATGAAAGGAGGTGTTAAATTATAGTATATTGCTGATATCAATTCTAATTTCTAATTCTTATTTATGCATGCGTCGTACGTAATGTGATTTAGTTGTGTGACACGCTGGATGGAGAGAAAGGTCAGCTGCTTTTCCGATCGCACCTATACATGATACCATAGCTTCAATCCCTTCAGCGTAACGGTGGAACCGTTGCCATACGTGTCGTCGATGACCATACCGCTACCGTGTAACGTTTATTAAGCCACGCACTCGTTGCGAACAATGCACTGTGAACTGGACATCTATGCTAATTGTTTCGAATCTGATCTCTCCTCTAAGAAAGTTAACGATCCCACGAGTCACGCGTTAATCCATCAGCCTATATTGTTGGAGAAAAATCATGCATTCCAGTTCATTGTATAAGAAGAGATATCCCAAAGTTTTTTATTATCACTGCGTTTCACTAGAAAGATTTTAGCCCTCCTCGTCACAGTTTTAACGAGCCTCAAGCGGATTTAGGTTACACAACTTTATTGATTCTTCTAACACTCTAGTTTTTCCTATTTACAAATAGGCGCACAATAATATCATTAAGGATATGAATATTGTACAATCGAATAGATAGGTTCAATCTACGAAAAATTGTTTCGAAGCTATTGCAATTTGTGGTGTTGATTCGATCTGCAAACCATGACGAGGTAACGGTATCATGTGTACCATTGATAAGCGTTCGACTTAAAAACTCTCTGTGAAACATTTGTTTGCGATGGGAACGGAGAAATTGTTCAGATTATCCGGTGAAGACATTAAAAACGAGGGAAGCAGTAATAACCTTTTTATAATAGAATGATACCTCAATATAAAACCTCAACCGTGACAGATATCATTTGTCATTGGCCACAGTTGCGGTGCGGAAGTGAACTGTAAAATTTCTATGCAGCCGATTCCGCAAAACTGATCCGTGACCGAGTCCGCTTTCCGCGCCAATTTTTTTGCGGCTTGATTTTTCCCTCCCTGTTTGTTCGCGAGTTAGAATCGGATAGCGCTTCCCTGAAATCGATACTGCACGCTTGCCGGTGCAAAACGGATCCTCGACATTTAATTCCGGTAGCTGTCAAATACTGAAATTATGGTTTTTCTTAATCATTTCACTGTGGCAATCGTCCTCGAGTGGCACGACTCGTTTCGTGATCGAAAAACAATTGTTTTCCTTCCAAGTTGTTTTGCACTGCTATTTACGGTTTATTTTTGCGAGGCTGCACGTCGACCATAGCACGACGAGAACGTACATTGGCAAAAATCGTGCCGGCACGAATTGACACGACTTTACTAGCGCAGTCTGCTTTTCACACATCCGCAATCCATCTCGCGAATCCCGCGTGTCACGCAACCAGGAAGTGAACTCGAATTTATCGAGTACCGAATGGAATATATTTGCTCTGTGGTTGAACGGGATTTAGATACTACGAATTTTTATAGTATCAATTCGTCGAATAAAGCCGTAGATCTGCACAGATACCACTAGAAAGCTGTTGACAATAGAGAATTGTAGAAAGTTAGGTCTACTTCATATTATAGTATATTTTGAAATATCGTAGCCATCATTTCAATATCTACAAGATAAGAAGAGACAACCTGTAGCAAAGCAATTATATCAATGTCCAGCGTTTGATACAAGAGAGAAATCCTTGTTAAGTCTGAAAACCATTTAATATCTAATTTCCGGATTGATATTTCATTGATAATTTTAACAGATTGTGCAGAAAATAAGTCGATTACTTAAACCGTGGCTGCGTGACTATCATAAAAAGTGTACGCGTACATTGTATCAGAAAACTCAGAATTTGCTTCGCATCGATGCCACCTGTGACTCCGTAAAAGTGTGCTAATTCCACAATAATGCGAAGCCCTACTTTCCAACCTTTGACCACTGTTTGCTTTCATTACTCGTTACGGTCCAACGCAACTATTGTATATTTCCTTTTTTAAATCGTAAACGAGCAGGAATCTCTTTAAAAGTTGTTCCATTAAAAATCAAGCATTAATGAAAAACGTACATAGTTCAACAATATTCGTTTATTCTGCTTCTGAAATGAAACAAACTTAAGAAATATGATGCAGCAGATAATTAATATCGTCGCAAGCCAGGAAATTTCTGATTGTTATAGCGGATGATTAACATCATTTATCCAGGAAGCTTGGTACTAGTTTCTGACGGTGATGTTCCGGCCGGAAATCGTGCCTGACGAATTCCCATAACACGATTCCTATTGTAACGGTTTACCGTTTGTGATGTAAACTGCAAGTATTCTCATGAAACAACAAAGGATTTGTTTCTGTATAAGACCGTAACATTAAAGAAACATTTTCATTTGTAATTCATTAAATAATTAAATGAATATCAAGAGCGATCTACTGACACTATTTAATTAATCAAGGCAGCAAGGAATAATACCTTGTTAATTATACAACTATTTAACAAGTTTTAAAAATTAGTACAACCGTATCTTGACGTATCGTGCATTCCAGTTGCGATAACCGATCTGTACGCGTTATCAGATCCGTGATTCACGGTATACTGGTTTTCAAATGATATACTAGAGACACGACATCGATACACGATACATTTCATCGAGTTACTTCGTTGAAGCGAAATTCTGTTTTTTTATGACCTAGTACGTTCGCGAGTGAAAATTTTAATGAAACGTAAAATGCAGTTACAATCCTAACGTATTCAGAAAAACTACATGAGAATATGTAACAAAACAATGCAATTGAAATATCAGCGAGTGATTAGAAATCCGGCGTTTCATATTGCATGACCTAATAGTTCTTTATAGTCTTTTCACCCGTTGTGCGCTAGCCCAGAAAAAAGGCGCATTGCTCGCGAGGTAGATTCGCAAGAACGACGTTGATGGAATCGTTCGTTTGACTCTCGAAGCGGCGTTTTGCCTCGGCGATAATCAGACCGCTTAGAATAGTCGGCAATAGCGATTCTACGAGCCATTGCTCCTCGCCGAGGAGGCTCCTTTAAGGAGGCGAAATGCAGGTCGTGCCGCCGCGCTATGCCGTTAGTTTTTTTTAACGATCGAAATTTTCCAACGAACCACGAAGCACCGCTCTATTACACGCATCCAGCGTACCAGAGAAAATTCAGTTAACAATGTCGGTCTAATCCTGGACCCGATAGACGACGGAGCAAATTG